TTTTTGTTTATTGTTGTCATAGTAACATCAATTTTACTAAAACCCACATTTTGACAAATTTCAATTTATAGTCAATCATTAGTGAAAATTGTATAGCGATCAGACAAGGATAAAATCGCTTTTAAAGGGATTGAAAAATATTGGTATGGCCTCTGAAAAACTATATCGAAACACCTTTTAAGGCTCGCCATGTAGTGAATTTTATCGTTGGCGTGCCCAACTAACCTGACGATGTTATTATTGTCAGTCTTCTCGCCCTCCTCAAACAATGGTGCATCTGCCTTATCCTCGTTAAACCTACCGCCGAGTAAATCAGTGCTGACGACTGCAACAAAATCATCAGTGAGGCAATCTTCAATCATTCCTGGGTTTACGTCCACTCAAAAGCCTGAAACAGGTACTGTTGACAACCATGAACTGGACTGGAAAAATTTCAAATTTGCTATTGATTTTTTTTGTTGCTAATTGTTTGTTAGTTTGCTTGATTTTTTTTATTAAATTGCGCTGCCATGATTAGTTGAAGAGAACGCTCCAATATTGAAATATGTTTAAAGACTAGAAAAAATTATCACTATGCTACTTTAAATTTGTCTTTGTAGAGCACGTATTTAAAATGAAACTCCTCCAAGACTGGAATGATGAGCTCAAAGACACAGAAAGCACAGCTTTTAAAGCTTTGTCCATGCGCTTTGAAACTGAGGTAAAAACAAGAAATGTATTTTACTTTAACGCATTCTTAGCGGAGCTCCACCGCGCGGTGGAGTCCCATTGCTAAGATATATTGGTAACCTATGAAAGCAAGAAAATTTGGTTATGAAGTCGCGTACGCGAACGAACGACCATCCGTACACCCACTACATGTAAGCCGACGCCAAATGTCAGGTTATTTTGGCGGGAAAACGTATGGCCACCGGCGCCTTGATAAGCAGAGACAACTAAAGAGTCAATAAAGACGAAAACGGAAAGCAGAAAATGTTTCTGTATCCGTGTTTTTTTTAAGCATTTAGCTTAGATTAATTATCATTTCCACAAATTTGGAATATAGCGAAAGAGAAAGAAAGACGGAGAAAAAGAGAAAGTAGGGCGACAGGCCAGCGAATCTCAACTAGAAAAGGAGCTTGAGAGAATGAGAAAACTAAAGGAGACATTTTTTGAGGGAGGAGCAATGTGAAATTTTGTAGCGACAGGATGCTAGGGGCCACCAGGGTGAAAATGAGCGACAGTGAAAAAAAAAAGTGAGTAAGAACATGTCCGACATTTCCTCCATAAAACGTGCAACTAGGAAGTTTCTGGAAGTTTCACGTTGCATTCGTGCAAAACAACGGCAGAAAATGTACAAAAAAAGTGTGCTGCACGTGCAAAGTTGCTTTTTTGCTATTTAGACCTATTGTTGTTTTTTTTTTTTACCGTTCTCGTTGCCTTCGCCGCTTAGTATTATACGATTTTAAATTGTCTGAGCAAACTTTAAAAATTATCGAGAGTTTCGCTTTTAGGCCTGGCTAAATCTATATGTTAGACTAAAACACCTATTCATTTTCGCAAAGAACTCTAAATAATAAGGATGATGGTAAAAATAGCCTCCTTAGTGGCACCGTTTCGCACACCGAGTATGGAGGTGTGGCTTACTTACTCAGACTTCTTTCCTGAGATAAATTTAAAGTGATCAAACATCACAAAACGATAGGCGATGTCATTTAACAGTATACAAATGTCGGTCATATTCATATATTTTTTTGGGCGAGTTACTTTTACTCTTGTAAACCAATATTCGCTCTGTTGGCTGAATGTTTGGTCTTTAACTCGCTTCTCTTTTTCTAATTTCAAGTTTACTCTTTCTTCTTACAGATGATGAGAGCGCTCTCTTCACGAAAAACTTTGATTGGAGTCAAAGTTATTTCGTTCAGGTATTAATAAAACACTCTTTTTTAATAAAACATTAGCTGTGATTTGTCTGATGGTGAGATAAATTTGTTTATATAATTAAGGTAAAACATTCATTATAAAGTATATCATGGCGGCCCAAAAATCTTTCATATGTATATACAGTTGACTCCCGATAACTCGAACCCTCGCTAACTCGAACCAAAATCGATTTCCCCTGGATTTCCTTCATACATTTACTGTTATTTTTCCCTATAATCTAGAAGTAACTTTCAATTTTCACTTAACATTTCTACAATTAAATGTGATTAAAACGTTCACTGTGCAGTAAACTCTTTTTTTTCCTTAATCACGGCTATTTTCTTCGTGCTCCCGATGACTCGAAATTTTTTCGATTTTCCTTGAAGGTTCGAGCTATCGGGAGTCGACTGTAAATAGGCCTTTCTCGTCTCGTTTGAAAGTAAGAATTCTTTTATATTTTGCACATGCTAACGAGATCAGAAATGCTAATTATCAGTCATATAAAAGAATATATCAATAGGCCGCCATTATGAAAGAGGTCTAAAATACAAGTTCGTGTCACGAAAAAATAGAATTTACCGAGACTTATCATGGACTGCATCACATTTCCTTAAGAACATATCGTAGTATGAGAGTATTCTCATCAATCTTGTTTCTGATCACATCACATATCCAGCAAAGGAAGTGTGGTGGTAGAGTTCCAACTGATGTTTAGATCGAAGGTGCCGTCAGATGAAGCCTTTGCTGATCTCAAGAATCAAATCAATGACGGTAACCTTGGTAACCTTCAAGTTGACCCTGCATCACTGGAACAGATCTATCCCACAACGCAAGGTATCTTTCCATTTCTTGCCATTCTCTCTATCGAAACCTAGCAACTAACTCTGAATGCCAGAGGTATTCATTAAACTTCATATGACGTGCAGCAGATTTAGCAGTAGGGCGACAATATGGGCACAAAAGAAATAAGCTTTAAATTGTGATCAGCCAGCCAAGATTGTGAGAGGGTGGGTAGGTCGGTAAGTCAATGAGTGAAAGAAAGGATCAATGAATTATGACGTTGTATCACATCGTCAAAAGTATGGGAAAACCTATGTGACAAACTATGTGTTGCCTCATATCCTCTCAAGACTACCCTTTCCTGCTGAAAGAACTTGCTTTTGAAGGAGACAACGTGGCCGAGCAGTTGGAGTGCTAGACTTACAATCAAGATCGGAGGCCCGGAGATTAAGTCGCACACTGTGTTTAAATCCTACACACGAGCGTTAAATGTAAATAGCCAACTGGTTCGCCACCGGCCGGGTAGGATTCCCTTCTACATTTTCTCTGAAATTGATTGAAAATCTCCTTGAGGGGTTAGGATAATTTCATAAATATTTGCTCAATTATGTTTCAGTTCATTTCTTATTCAGTCGTCTCAGTTCAGTAGTATTGGCTTTAAGGGAGTTCATTCTATAAGCTTTCAAGCACCTGTATATTTGTTTTCTCTAGTGCCTACCAAGAAAGACGAAAGGAAGCTGAGCTTCGCCATTATTATTGGCATTTCATTCGGCGGATTTTTCATCGTGGCCCTTATTACCATTCTACTGGTACGTCACTGTAAGAAAAAGAAGTTGCTAGAAAAACGGCATCATTCGAACATAATGCCGTCTGACGAAACGTTTCCAGACCGTCGGAGGTATGAGGTGGAAAGAGCCAAGTCGGAGGAAAACATCCTTTACCTTGAAGAGACGGGACTCTGGGCAAAACCCATTGAAGGAAAAGAAAATGAAGCATATGATAAATTGTAAAACCAGAGCGCGTTAGTATGAAAATAAGGCGGATTTTCTCCATTTTGTTATTAGAATGAAGACGTATATGTTGTGGTTCAATTTTACGGTTGGTTTGAATTTTCTTTTCTTTTGTTTCTGGATGTGGTAATGTATGATAATGAGCTTGAAACAAAAGAAAAGAAAATTTAAACCAACGATAAAATTGAACCTCAACATATATGACTTCGAATATCTTAGGCACAAGAAAAGGATCAGCAATAGCTTGGCAATGTCTTAGGCAATTTAGGGCATAAAAATAATAATAACAATCGCAAAAGTTAGAATTGCTGTCATTAAATTTTAATTAGTATAAATGCGTGGACTTTCTTACATATAACAAGAAAATATCTGCTTTAGTAATTAAGCTGCTGTGAGTTTGTAATATTCCTCAACCTTTTAATTGTATCAGTTTTATTGGGGTCTACTTATCGTTACTCACTTTAATTTACTTTACATTTTTCCTTTTGCTTGTTAATCATGAGCATGGACATTTAGATTTTCAAAGCCAAGTGAACACTTAATCACATTTTCACGGGTAGCGAATTGGGGGATTAAATCCTAAAAAATATCAGTAGTGACAATTTTAATTGTACGAACGTAAAACCTTTTAAAACTATTTGTTTCCTAGAATTTTAGACGGTAGGTCAGACTTTGTTTCTGACATTTAGTTTAATACCATAATTGCTACTTGTTTCAACTCCGCCCTGTTTTAGAATGCTTGATTACGCTGAATAAAAGGTCAGTTTGGCAAGCGATGTCTACTTCTGACTTTTTGGAACGTATTGATAACGCCGAATAGGCGTACAAAAAGGGAGATATAGCCACCCCAAGCAAAACGTTTACCGGAGTCTCGTCAAATAAGTTAAACAAATAGACTTCATGTTGCCGTGCAGTCCCTGGTAATTATGTATTACTTAATCTGTTCATTTACTTATTTTGTGTTTTACGGTCTCGCCATCTAGCATTAGTGTAAGAATTTTAATAGTTTTATATTCGTAAGTGACAGCAAGTAGTCTTGTGGATTTACAGCAGCTATTATTGTTAACTGCAGCCCTTATTCTTGAACGGAAGCAAAATGGAGTCGCTGCATGTTCTTGGTACGTAACACTCACACGTTACAACAATTTCCCAAAATTTCAGCTTGATCTGTTTCGTTCCCATGTTAGCGAATTTCAACTTTCGACCACGTCAGCGAATGTGTCAGGCTATGTGTAAAGTTCAACCGACCCTTCGCAAATGGCTGTTAGTAATGAAATGTCTTAAGAAACCCTACAGTTACTCTTCTTATTATGCTTGCGTGTACATGTGTCTAGTGTACTTCCACCTCGCCTTCTCTTCAAACCTTTTTACAAGTTTACTTTCCATAGTCGCAGAATCTGGCTCAAAGGAGAACTCGTTCAGAACACTTATGTACAGTTTGAACAGTTGCTCAAATGCTTCATCTTCCTGAAGATCGCTCATGGCTACGCTGGCAAATATGCTTTGCAAATCGGCAATCTTTGCTTCAACTTCCAAACAACTTTCCCAATCCATTGCGTGATTTCCCTGCGCATTGATGAAATTGGAGCAAACTTTATAATTTGTAAAGGAGAAAGCTTCTGACAACGTGTCTTGTTCTCGTTCTCGACCCCTTATCGTGTCTTCTAACAATTCGTAGTAATGATAAAGGTCTGGATCCAGTGCCACGTGTTTATTTTCCAATTTCTTTTCTTCTTTAACAATGAGTTCATCGATCGCCTTGTTGAGTAATTCGTAGTAATGGGAAGCGCTGGACCCGGCGTTCTGCTCAGATTGTAAGCTCGGAGTCTCGACTCTATCAACGGAATAACAGGAATCAGAGTTCGTTTTTCTTGAGCTTTCTAAATCCAGTGAAGGGTAAGTAACAGTTGAACAACGCCTACTTTGCGAACATTCCGTTAGTGCGTACTGACTCTCACTATCGCTTCCACAATAATCATCACCACTTTGCGACACTATAAAAGGCCTCCTGGAGTCGTGATCGGATTTTGCAGGAATATCAATGGTTTGTCCCTCAGTTACATCTCCCACTGGTTCACCCGGATATGGTAATGGCTCTTCATTATCCACATTATGTGTATGGAATTTTGGGAGCGAAAGTGAAGGCCAAGTGGATGAGACGTCTTCCTCGTCTTGATATGCATCGTGTCTAAAGTGGGTGGCGTCAAGAAGGGTGCTAAGGGACGAAAATGATCCATGATCACGTTTTACAGCAGTTTGGTCTTTTGCCTCTGACACTTCTAAAGAGTTTCCTTCTGTTGAGTCGCATGCATTACTCTCGCCGTCTGACTGTGCCCGATTAGCAGCTCTAGTTAAATTAACCTCGCTTCCAGATGAGGCATCATTTTCAGACACACTCCCAACCTTGCCTGTTTTAACGAAAAAGTATTTAAACTGCTGAAGCATGTATTCTACGACTTCATAGTCTTTAGATTTCAAGTGTTCGTCTGCTTGCACCTCCGCAAATGAGTCCATAAGTATTGTCAAGAACACATTCATTAAAATCATGACCATAACCATCTGAAACGAAAAGAAGATAACTGGACCCAACAGACGATTGTTCGCCTGGACTGTTTCAAAATCAAAACCTCCCATCACAGCACTGAACAACGTTTCAATTGTAGTTAGAAAGGATCTGTACTCAGGTAGCACGCTTCCATAGATGGAATAAAACAAAAAGCTGAAAGCAATGTAAAAGACTAAAAACACTACAAGGAAAGAGAACAAAGGTAACGCCGCCTTCGAGAGAGTCTTTGTAAACAAGTAGATTCTGTGGTTAAAGCGCATCAGTTTGAGTAGCTTTAAGTTAGCAAGGAAGACAAGGAACGCCAGTAAATACACAAAGGTTTCATCCCAAGAAGTCGCTTGAATAAAGCTTACGAACTGCCCTGGATTAGATTTCATTCGACTGATTGCTTTTTGTGTAAAATACGTTCTCTGTAGTAAAGCGATGGCTCCAGTTACAGTTAGGACAATCTGAGAGACTTCCAGCCAATTCCAAGGATCTTTGAAATACTGTTTTCGAAGTCTGTAAGCTTGTTTTAGTTCCGTGTAAATGAAAATCGCAAGAAAAATAACAAGAAATATCTCACAGACAAATATTGCGAGGTGCAAATCGCCCGTATTGCGGTATAACCTCGCCACCCTTACGTTGTTGAAATATATTATTCCATTGGTTGGGATCCATTCCGTTAAGAAAGTGGCCACTCCAAACAGGTTAACTTGGGCACTGTAAATAGCGATTTCTAAAAAAATAGCGCGTGTTCTAGAATCTATCCAGTAGTTCTGTTTCAAAACCTTCAGAGAGATTTCCGTTTCATTTGAATATGACAAGTCAAGTGAAAAGCCCCCTCCGCCGTAAGTACCCCTAATTCCTAAGAATGGTAAAGAATCTAGTGCGTTCATTGACTGATACGACCAAGGGGAAATCGTGCTGTTTAAAGCCTTGTTAGTACTCTTCCAGCCTGCATTGTAACTCCCTTTGTCTTCCTTGAATAAGGAGTAGTAGCCGTTGCATCCTGAAATCGTCTCCTTCATTGGGCCTGCTACTTGACAGCCTTCTGTCGATTTAAAGACAGCAATTATGACAAAAGTAATGGAACGGTCATGATCATTCTTTCTCAGCGCAGTAACTATGATTTAGAGAACGTCATCAGCCGAAACGTAACAGTGCCTACTTAAGATCGTAGTGACACTTCTTCTGGGATCAGTATAGATAATCAAAAAACATTGCAGTGCACTGTTGTGAAACGTCAACATATATTTGAAGCGAAACAGGTTATTTTGTGTTGGAATGTTATATTCAAGATCTGAAAATGTTTCCATGAACTGGATTGGACACTTGTTGCTTAAAAAAATGTCTTTAAAAGGTGTTTAACTTCACTATTCTAGTTACTTGCGAAGAAGGGAGAAAGAATGAGAACGCCTTATGGAGTGACAAACCTTGAGAAACTCTCAGCTGTCGAACTCGTGCTCCACCAACAAGACGTGAATTGCAATCAGCTGTATAATTTTCCAATGGGTGACATCCCTTAGCCCACTCTCGACTTGATGATGACAAACTTGGCAAAACGGTGCCTTCGATCCACTTCCAGTAGTTGTCAAAGCCACCAATCTAATAGACAAGACATCTTGTTAGCTTTTAGTGCTCTAGTAAACCCTTCGTCGCCGCCTTTGTTTACTAGGGACCTTACGAAACTACGACGGCGACGGCAAGGAGAACGTCAAAAAAGCAGTAAGTTTAATGAGCAAAACAATAACTCTGCACTTGCATCACGCTTTTTTGTACATTTCTTTGCTGTCCCTGCACAACTACGACGTGAAATGTCCAAATTTTAAGTTTACTTGAGAACGGGAACGGTAAGGCGTTAAATTCTAGCATCTGTATCTGAACCTGGCTGCGTTCCCCTCTCTTCAGGTTCAACCTTCTTTAAAGTAATAGGGCTTATTGAGATAATCGCGGAAAAGTTATATAGGATGCGAAGTCTATTTTTCAGCGACGTTTCCATGGACGTTGCCGTAGTCGGATCGTAAGGTGCCTAATAAATCACGCAAGATCACCTCCTTCATCATACTCCACCATCATCTTTACCTGAGCAAAATCCTAGGACTAAGTCCTCTACGTTATAGTCTATGTCAACAGTTGAAACGTTTTCTGCATAGTCGTATAAAAAATCGGAAAGAAAGCCTGTTTACCTTGTTTGTAGTTCATTGAAAAAATATATATATATTTTAACAGGAGTATTTTTTCTATTCTGGTCTCTAAAAATTCAGTACAGAGAGTGAGAGTTTAAAGAGTGAAGCAAAAATTTAAATTGAAATTTCAACTGACGGCCTTGCAGCAGTCCAATTTACTAAGAGATTACAAACGTACGAGGAACAATCAAATTGATAGAGTTTGAATTCTGCAGTATTAATTGCTGCAGAAAAGGGGGCCTTTAATCACGATGGGTGGAATAAAATTGCTGGAGCTGCATTGAAAACGTCTTTTACGTGCTAAATGCTCCTCGTCATAGAAACTGCATTTTGATGCATGGGCCACAATCCTAAGCGTTTCTCACTCAGTTTCTCGTTTCATTTTCATTTAAAAATAAAATTACGTAAGAGTGACTGAGGAAAAAAATAATGCCGAAAGCGAATTTGTGGGTATCCAAATTCGTAAACCTGCCACGCACCCACGCAAATGTTATTGATCCTCAGAAAATCGAAGAACCGTAAAAATGGAGCAGTGAACACTATGTAGGAAAAAAAATCATGAAACGTACCTCATTCAATCCCTTGCTGCTGTAAGCACCTCCCAGATAGGTATCTTCAATAAGTTTGGCCACAAGATAAGCCTTGGGATCGCGCTGTCCAAAGCTTACAACAAACAATGCAATTAAAAACAGCACATAGAGAATGACCTCCTTAACTATTTGAGATATTCGCATTTCCCGTTTTCTCTTTTCTCTGGCTCTGCTAAGCTCAGTAAGATCGGGTGGTGTTAATTTGGTTGATCTATAGTCGACATATTGCTGCGGGATGATCTTTTCGAATTCCGGATATCCATTTCTATTATCAAAATCAGCACCATATAATTCTTCCTCTTCGTCCGCGTTTTCGATCTGCGCGCTTTTTGTTTCCATCTGCTCTTGCGGTTTCTTTATGACAAGGGCGATGAATATGGCAATGAAGAGCACCTTGATGGGCTGACTGACGAACACATCTTGAACTAAAGAAATGCATAACGATATAAGCCACTGAGTGGCTTTTTCTTTGCCGAACTGGAAACCGTACAAAATAACGAAGAAAGCTGAAGTAATTGTTACAACTATAATTCCAAGCCAACCAATACAAACAAACCAATGTGGAATTTTTCTATTGTGCGTTTCTCTGGCTGCTGCCGATCCAAACTTTTCATTGACTTGCACCTTCACGCTGGCTTCTTCAAATACTTCAAACCTACCCATATCTTCCTGCCAGTCGTTGTGGTCTAACTCTGCTAAACACTTTTGACTACCGCAACTGTCCATGCCTGCGTTCAACCAGGCTGCAGTCTTTTTGTCCTTGTCAACTGTTTCAACGGGTGGTAAAGCAGTGGGTATCGAATCAGTATTTTCCGGGTGCAATTCATCGTCCTCTTTGTCTTGGTTACGATACCATTGTATGATGTCTTCAAAATCGCCTTTATACGCTTTGGCCCGCTTCTCTTTTCTTCGATTTTTCACTCCCATTTTACGGTTCTCTGATTTAGGGCTAACATTTCTAAACACTGCGGCGATAGCAAGATTGATAGGAAAAATGATAAGACTGCTTATCACTCCAATGTACACCTCTCTTGCGGAAACGCTAATGGGCCCCAAGTTAATAGTCGCGGTTGGATCAGCTTCTTGATCATCTAGTCCATAGAACATTGCATTTGTTAACATGGTGCATAAAAGAAGAGCTAAGCAACATGAAAGGCGCTGAACCGTGGTAAAACTGCTCATACGTGGTTTTGCAAAAACCGAAAACCACAAATGATTATCCGTGATGTTTCTTTGACTGACGTTGTAGAACAAATGGCTAAACGAGACTAGGTCGTCCTTCCGAGCGGAATGCAATTTCCGCATAACTTCTCCGTCATCAAACTCTACTGCAAGCCACCGATTGCACATAAAGACGTACACGCTGTCTTTAGTGACATCACGCACTATTACCTGCTTTAGATACCACGAGGGACTAGATCCTGAGTTGTTATGCCAAATCTTTAGCAAGGTGAGCTCTCCCAAATAGCAAGGAGTTGTCAGGAGAAATGAATCCATTCCTGACCTTTCAAATCGCTGGATTTCTGGATCTCTGAGCAGGCGGGGACCAGTATCACCATCCATACCAGCCAAAACGCAGGAAACATCGGCGGTTGTTCCCGCGCCTTTCCTCATCCCTGTAAGCACTAACAGTTCATACCTGTAGCGATGCGATGGTTCATTATCTTCAAGTGGTTTTGTTTCGTCCTAAAAGATATCAATTGTAGTTTGCAACCTTTAATGTAGCAAGAGGAGAGGTTAAAAAAGGGGTTTTTGCTTCTTTTACATTCCATTTCTTTTTCCCTTTGAATTTTGAAAAGGATATTTAGCGATATTGTTCTGTTTTTCTCTCTGAATACTATAACAAAAGATACAACTGTCTATTCCACTACTTGGACACTTAAGCGCTTAGAAAGGTCAATTACAAATGTTTTAGTAAATCGTAAATCTGATTATTAATCAATCATTAATCGCTAATTGGCACAATCACGCATGCTCGTCAGACAAATCTGATAGCATAGACCGCTTAATCCAACCATAAGATTTCCTATATGACTATATGCAGACTTAATTAACATAAAACTGTAGCATACCTTTTTGGCATTTCGAACATCACGCCTTCTTGCCCAGACAAGCAGTAAAACATAAATGACAAAAATTACAATCACTGCTGAAAGGACGACAGGATTTGACGAACTAGTTAGGAGCTCGGCGAACCCTTCCAAGGCCTTTTCGAAATCTATAACATTTGGCGCTACGAAAACTTGTGCAGCAAATGAAGTTAAATGGTTACAGAGGCATTGTATCTCAACTGTCGTAGTTTCCGTTCCAACCTTAAAGAAAAGATTTAAGCTGTTTAATATTTAAGTTGATTAAAAGAGTGATGTATAAAACATTAGTACAAAAAAGAAAGTGAAATTCAAACAAGAAAAAACAAAACAAAACAAACAAACAACGTACAGCACCAGCTTAGGACTCGAGAAAGTTGAACGGCAGTCAACGTCAAGAATAGTGTATTTTATAAGGCCACGCCGCGTCGTGTCTGCTCAGTTTGGTAAGGTTTACAATAGGCGGTAGTTTCGGATTTTTATACATTTCTGGGAAACTGCCCACCTACCCCTCTACTAAGCCAACATTTTGCCTTAAGTCAGAAGTAAATGTTAATGCTGGCTTAGGGGAGGGTTAGGTGGGCAGTTTCCTCGAAACGTATATCACCAAATGAAGATTGAAAAGAAACTGAACAATACCCACACTACAACACAAAAGCCAACTAACAATGTTTTCCGCAACACCAAGAAACACTCGAATAGATTGCCGTATGTCTTAAAACTGGAGCAACATTTGATTCAGGAAAGAATCTCCCTGGAACTGTTGCACTAAATATATTAATGAACATAACTTATTCAACTCTTCTTCAAGCTTTCATCGGATAGTTTAGTTCCAGCTAACTTAGTCGTTGGTTTTAATCGTCGCTTAAAAATTACTCCAAGGCCGAAGTGAATCGCCAAGTAGTGACTTTTCCACCGGATTTTAGTGCTCAAGGACTTACCTTACATCCCTCCGTGCTCCAACTTTTTGTTGTCTCGTTCCAGAAGAAGCATTTTAACGTAGATATCGTCAGGCTGTACGAGGCATTATAATCAGAAAATGAGCCTGTTTTTCCCTGAACTTGAATATAATATGTTCCTTCCCCACTTATCAAACTATGGTCTAGTATAAACAGTTTTTGCTCCATCCCATCTACCGACCACGACGCTAAATTATCGCTCGATGACGGCCGTCTTCCTAGGGCGACCATTATGTTCCACTCTTGTACGTTTTCATCTTCCGAAACAAACTCGAGGCTCACCCCAGCGTTATCTAGGCTGTAATTGAACGTGTGGACCTGAGCTGAAGTGTCATTGATTTGCAGAACAAAGTTTTCCCTCTCTGCTTTTAATGACTCGTCCACTTGACGAATTCTGATGTCTATATCCCTTTCTAATCCCTCAAGAGAAACCATGCTGCCATCCGTTTGAAGCACCTCTAATGCAACCACTGAGGTGGTGATGTTTTCCTCTCCTCCACAGTCGCTATATGGATTTTCTGAAAATGACAGCATCTGAAAATTGGTAAAAGAAGTAGATCAACAAAACAATAAGTGTTTGTAAATGAAACAATCTGACAATGGGTCAAAGAGTAAAACAGAACGTGACTGGACTACTACAACAACAACAATAAAAACAGGCAAACTACAAAATATGACCCGTACGGCACCGCGCGCAATTTCGTTGGAAAACCACAAAAAAGAATTCCAGTACGAGGGCCGTACGCGTCAAGTGATGGAGCCGGAAAAACGCGTTAGAAAAATGCGCTCGAAGCGAGGCAAATGCTGCCAGGAACGCATTTCTCCCCCTCAGAAAAATCCAAAAACACAACCGTCATTTTCAAATGATAAAATGCTTACTGTACGCGAGGTCCGTGCGTCTCGACCGACAGCAAAATATTTTCCCGTCCGGCTCGACCTAACTGAGTCAATAAGTACATATTACCATACTTTTATACAGAAACGCAAGTAAGTAAATCTTTCCCACGTTTGTTTGTTGCTTTAATTCCCTGGCTTTTTTTGTCTACCTCAGTATCTTTTGATCTTCTCTCTCTCTTTCTTTCTTTTACCCTTTTTATTTTTTACTGTTCTTGTTCTCAACTCTTGCAAATGTTGAAAAGGCAAATTGTTATCAAGCAGAGTCCTTGTTGAGAAAAGTTTATCGTACCCAACCTGGCGCTAAAATTGTCGGTGCTCAAAAACAACGAAGGAAAAAGCACTCGGGCTTTATCTAACCTGTAGGTTTAGAGCGTAGTCCTCGAAGTTGATATTTTGAAACAATCCCAGGTTTGGTAGTGTGAACATTCCCAGTTCGTTCTGGACTATGGATCCATTCAGAGAGTTGGCCAAGGCTTTCTGGAGAACGGCTGTTATCTTTGCTGTATTAATAACTGTGTCTGCATCCCCAGGTGTTTTAGCTTTCAAAACTGCTAAGCACATTTTATTCACCACATCGAGAATTTCTTTTGATGCCTCTCTGCCCCTTTCCTTTAAAAAAAGAAAGAGAATGATGTAAAATTAATGGGAAGGTAAAGGCGCACACGAGCAGAGCTTATCCCGGTTTCATTAGCATGAAGCACTTAAAGTATTGCTACTCCCCTCTAGACGGGATGCTAGTCCATTACAGGGTTACCCCCCAACAGTATGTCGCCGGTGCAGTTGTCCCTTTCGTAAACGGTCGCTGCCATTTTTAAGACAGAAAGGTTTTGACCTGTTATGGACAGTGTTTCTATATCAAAGAGAAAGAAAATCGCAACCCAAGGTCAAACCTGGACCTCAAACTCGGACCATTTGTATCCTAATCTCTCTTCCTTACCACTACACTATCACACCGATCCGCCAAAATGCCGAAAAATTTAAGTATTGTCTTGTCTTTATTTACTGTAGCATCAATCCGTAAATTTTAACGATAATTCAACTTGGGCTTCAACGTCGTTCCTTTTAACACTATTCAAAAGCGTATTATTTGCCTTATTGTAACTTACTCAAGGGAATATATTACATCTATCATGACTGAAGGTTTGGTAGTCAATGGTGGCATCGATCGTTAAAAATGGCAACGACCGTTTACGAAGGCGAAATAGGCGTCGCCGGTACCCATTTATACACCTGGGTAAAGAGAGACAAATAGAGTCAAGTTCATTGTCCAAGGTAACAGGTGAGGCTTGACCTCCGGACTTCCAGATCTGCAGGTGTCAACCGCTCGGACAAACACGCCTCCAGAAAGAGAATGTAGAGTAGCTAACATAGATTTTTCTGCATAGATTACCCGAGTTTCTTTTAAAGTAGAATAAAAGAATTTTCACCTGCGACAACATTTTAAAAGAAGCGATAGAAGCTTACATGTTAGGTCAAGGGCTATTTTCCCACACAAATTTTGCTGAAACTAAGACAGTAACCTGCGATTATATGCAGTACATCGATTTCAGAAAGTTCAGTTTGTGGAAGCTGTCATCATTGTGGTAAGTGTACTTTTAAAGTTATCGACCCATTTTGCGGTCAGTCACGCGTTGAGTGCAAGCTTTAGGGTGTCTCCTGGATAAAGGCTGTAAAAAAAGATATACTTACTTTGAACGCGTCGTCACAGCGGTAAAATGGGTCATCTAAACTCACTGGAGACCCCTCTGATATGCTCTTAAATAAGTTGCCAGCAATTCCAAGAATCTCTGATGAAATCTTTTCAAGACTTGAAACTGGGACGGTGTCTTTTTCAAGGGCGCCTACAATGCTGGACATAGTGTCCACGGTGTCGTCCTAAAAAGTGAGGTAAGAGAAAGAGTAACTTGACGCAATATTCTTTACTACTTTAGGCTCTTCAGGAGAGCTTCCTGTCTAAAGTAAGAATCTATCATGGACGCTACACATTTCGTGCTGTGTAATGAACGTCAAAAAGAGCATTTTATTTGAGCGTTGTTGGTGTTTTCACTATACCGTACGTCTCCAACTGGGGACGAAGGGACCACCATTTCTACTTGGGCATTCGGCCAACGCGAACTTTTAGCCGTTAGCACGGCAAAGGCTGTACCTTTATTTTTCAATTATTTTCAGACCCTGAGTGTTGTTCCGGCTCTGAGGATCGAAACCAAGTCCTCCCGCTCTGTAGTAAGGCGCACTACCGCCTCAGCTATTCCTGCCGCGGTTGTATAGAGCATACCACTAATCAGTTAAGAGTCAACTTAAGGGGATTTTTAGCTTATTGGTTAGGAAACGATTATTTTGGGGCGAGACAAAGGATTAGGTTTGCGCCGTACGTGCAGTGGAGATGCTTTAAAGCATGATAAGACATTTTTCAAGAGTATTTGTCGCCTTTAGGCAGACCCTTCTGGGAGAGCAAATTGAGAACAAGAGAGACGCGAGCAACCTGAATAGGAGTATGGAAAATATATATGGTAAGAGCCAAGAGTACGTTTTCTTTGTCCATTAGTTTTTGGTTGTATTTTCGTTCCAGTTGATACCACAGTTTTGACATTTACCAAGTCCATTCTTAATCATTTCCAAAGTGATTGAGTCTAACAGTTCCACCTATAAGAAGCCGATATTCCCAGGGTCGGATAATTCGAAGAAAATACGCTAAAATACGCTACAGTGCCGTTTAAAGCTTTAATTAAGGTAACTCAGTTAATTTTTCTGATTATGACACTGTTCCTGAAATTGAACAAGCGTCTTCGATCTAGGCCGAATGTCAAACTTTTCACGAGATAAACCAAACTTAGTGAGTTATGTTCACGAAAAGTTCGACGTCTGGCTCACTTAAGTTCGTCTAAATGAGTTTGGTTCGTCAAGTACGTTCTACCCGTCTCCTTCAGACGGATAGAACGTCTGAAGATCGCCGGTCTCCGGGACAAACGTCGATCTTCACATGAGACGGACTAAGCTAAAAAATTAAAACTTTGTATGATAATATAACTTAACCTCGTTCGGGAGAAAGTGTTTTAAAATTGCTTTTTGGTTTGATTCAGTTGAATGGTTTGACGCGTCCTTAAAGCTCGACGTCTGACCCAACAGACAAACCAAAGCTTGGTTCGTCTCATGAAAAGTTCGACCTTTGGCCAAGGCCTTAGTAGATCCGAAAGTGACCAGGAAATGCTTGATAAGTTATTCTTTTCCTACCAGCCAAAAGCTGGTTGTATTTACCCGGGCATTTTGTGTAAGTACTTCGTTGTTTTCTGTCGCTCTCTCCAAGGCGTCGCTTATCACCAGCAGCTCATCAACGGTTGTTGTTCCACTTTCCGCGAGAACTTTTGTGTTTGTTTTAAGCTTTGACGTAATCTTTTCAATTATCTATTAAGAAACAGGAAACAATTACACTGATTCTTAATAAGTTTTATCCACAAGGCAAACTGAACTGGCTACTTTGGCAAAGGCGTAGGTTTCATTCACTCAATAGGGCGTTACCAAGGCCTATGTTCACAATGTACTGGATAGCTTTTCGTGCCGTGACACTAATTATTTTTATTAATAATATTATGATTATTATTTATAATAATAATAATTATTATTATTATTATTATTATTATTATTATTATGATCATTATTACAAGTGATACCGGTAAAAGTGAATTATAATTATTTTACACAATAAAACTTCGAGTTTAAACCTTAAATTAATTTGATAAAAAAGGGTTGGCTTTTTCGTCTTTCTTCCGTGCCGCATATTTATACAACGAAGTCACGGTTCGAGGTTGTCCGCTATTGTGAGAAGCAGGAGAGAAGTGATTCCATTTGCTTTAATTGAAATGGATGGATGAAAATTGATCGCCCTTTTTGATATACAAATCATGTCCAGTGACATACAAATCAGGGAAAGAGAAAGTAAAATCAACTATTACAGCTGATTCTTAAGTCGGGGCACAAGCCGATTAATAAAATGGATTTACAAAGAGAGAAACGAATTGCTCTTACTGAAAAGAAAACAACAACTTAATAACAGCCTGCAAACCACTAAGTTGAAACTTATATCATGTTAGGCCCCTTTCACACGAAGAATTTCTTATGAGTGCCGAAAACCTATTTTAGTCGATGAAAGTAATTAAATATGGCAGTTAATTCAGACGTCGGATATGATGGTGCCAAACTTAACTTCGTTTGTTGTAAATATCCCTAGGTCTCTACGAAACTTTTTTATCCAATATGGATGAGGGTTTCTATAATTGGTGCATTGTATTCGGCACATGTGAAATGCGACTTCTAAATCAAATGTTAAACTAAGTCGAATTTTCGACTGTTTCAGTAGCAGATTCGACAAAGTCGTATTTAATTTGAAACTGTCGAATTTAGTCGATTCAGACGTCCCATCTCAAAGCAGTTACCTCTCGAATTAAATTAGGCACATGTGAAAATCGACGATTGAGCTGGGTAATGACAACAGTATTACTAAACATACCGGTAGATACGCTATGATACATACCGGCGCATTTTTTATATTCCTGTAAACTTTGTTTTCAATTTACCACATTATGTTACTGGCTATATGCGAAACACAGGTAAAAAAGAGAGTAAAATTTCTCTGCCGTGTGATGAAAGTCAACTCTCTACAGCCGTCGGCCTAGTCTCCCGAATTTTTCGCTCATGTTCATTACCACCTTAAATTTTAAATGCCGGACGTCAACTGGTTATTTTTAAATGCCCCACACAACCAAAACCTCAAACATGCTATTTGTTTTGAACCCAATAATGAAATCTTGTCACAGCAACAAAAAAACCTAATTCGGAAATAGTCACGTGACTGATGATGTCATCACCCTAGATGTGACATGGGAAGATATTTTATGGCAAACGTTATCTTGTTGTGGTCTGACGTTCTTCTACGTACAAAATTATTATAAAGCTTCTAGAAAAAATTGTCTCAAAGGATTCTGGGATAATATTTATGATAATGGGATAATATTTATGATAACATTTATGATAATTACAATTTAAAACGACCGAGGTAGTATCACTAGAGTCAACAAGCAACTTCAAAGAGGAAGGGATTTCTGCCAGAAAATTAGAACAAGGGAAAGCCACATGACAAAAAAATCTACCAAGATGTTCATTGACGGCTTGTCTGGTTCCGACTTGTGAAATTTTTTGAAAATTCTAGAAACATTTGCAGCTATCTGTGAAAAAGATAGCCTAAGAAAACAGTCGCATTTCGAGTCTCCACCGATGGTTTCTCCGGGAAATGACGTCTGAGCAACAACCGTAGAAATTCCATACTGATGACGCGTCACTACCCAAATCTGGGTAGTGCATCTGATTGGGTGAAGCAAATTTCCAAACAATCAAAAGCACTCTTCAGATCTAAGTAGCGAGCGTCATCAGCACGGAATTTCTGCGGTCGATCTCCAGACGTCATTTAGCGAAGAAACCAGTTGTGTCGTCGCGAAATGTTGGCTGCTTCGGTCTCAGATTATGAGGAAGATGACTTACTTTAGCTTTCTTTTGCTGCGTTTCTGTCATTTGTTGTTCGGTTGGTGCCACTGTACTTCCCGTGGCTGTTATAGTTTCCTCTGTAACGTTTCCACCAGTGATTTGCTGTGCTTTAGTGGTTGGAAGTAACGTTGTCGTTGCTTGAGAAGCTTCACCCTCGTTACCAATATTATCGTCGTCATCGGAAAACAGAACCTGTTCCAAGAGGCTTAGAACTTTCAAGTTTTCCTCTCGGACTTCACCGGGGTTACTAATGTTAGAAGTGGTATTTTCGTTGTCTAGATCGTCGAAGACAGAATCAAGATTTACAGTTGCTCTTTTCACATTTTGTACCTAAAAGAAGGACCAACGTATAGCCAGGTTTAAACGCTGAACCGAACAACATGATTTACCTAGGGCTCAACTCCCTTTTTCTCCTAAACAGGGAATGTGCCGCTGAAATGGGCATGGTTTGGGGTTCCCGAGTCTTAAACAGGGTATACAATTGAATGGACGAGGGACACGAAAAATGGAAATGAATGTTTTTTTGTCATCAACATAGTCAGTCTCATACCCAAAACCCTGCCCTGGAATCTTGGTCAACACTATATGGTAGCTAGCATGCGGTGTAATAATAATGTTAGGGGATGTTTTTTTCACCATCTTTGATTTTCAAAGCAGTAAACTCCTTCCCTCACTACCGCGGTCAAACGTTTTGTTTGTTTGTTTATTTGCTGAGAGTCCATTTACCAATAAGAGAAAACAATGGACTTTTTCAGTTTTCAATACCTTGGAACTTTTTAAGTAGTCGTTCAGAAAGTGTTGTAAATGAACAGCAACTCGTTGATAACTTTTTACAGTGAAAAACATGAGTTTAAGGTACTAACTTTAGTTTTAGTAAATTTTTCTCGTTTGACCACGGGGAACATTCTCTGCCTTATGACAACTGACGGGCGCGATTTTTCGTGCTAACGCACCCCAAGGCCACTACCACAGTGGCGGATCTAGGGGAGGGATCCGAGGGGCCCGCCCCCCTTATTTGTAGACCAAACTGAGGCCCAAAGGGCCGAAAAATGTTTTTTTTTAGACCGGGCATCCCCCTTATCTCAGGGTCTGGATGACCGCCCTCCTCCCTTATCTGATTATCTGGATCCGCCATTGACCAGTTCCCCCTGCCCATCGCCAAATGCTTCACTTACTTACATCTAAACATTAGACTCGCCTCATTAAATATTTGACGTCTGAAAGTAGCAGTTTCATCGAAAAAACGATACTAATGTGACTCTTCTTTCCACTTTAGCTTGCGGTCGGTGGAAAAGGAGACTATATTTTATCGCACAGTAAACGATTTTCTACTGAAGGTGGACCCTAATCTGGCTCGAACTTTGCACTGATAATCGTTAATTGGCTAGTGATGTTTATGCTTCCCAGTAACAACTTTTCATGTAGCCTGCGTCGGATAGTAACGTCTGCGAGGCAGCGCCGATATCCTCCTTCTGGGGGCCCCCAACGGACACAACGAATTACCGGAAACGCTTTTCAATTTTCCCTTCAACCAATCTGGTAAATTAACAATACCGTAAATCCTCTTTTAAGCCCCCCTCCTCCCTCCCCTACTCAAATAAGCCCCCTCCCTCTAATAAGGCCCCCCTTTAAGGGGAAGAAAGTTAATAGGCCCCCTCCTCTATTAAGCCCCCCCTCCCCTCCTAATTATTCTTCACTAATAAATGATAGACTGTATTAATCAATCACGACCGTAGAACTTCGTGTGAACTGATCCGGGATGGTTTATTTACCAACTGAAAGTTCGGATGTGATACTGATCCTCGGCTTCATGACCTGAAATTTCTTGTACTTGAGTTTTTCCACTCCGTACTCTACTTCTCTATGGAGAACTGATACCTTCGTCCTTTCTAAATTAAAGAAGCCCCCCGTCTCTATTAAGCCCCCTCCCCCCTTCAAATGGGCTTGAAATAAATACGCCGGGGGGCGTAATGGAGGATTTACTGTAGCTTTTTTAACAGGCCAATCATGTCGTGCATGGTACCCAAGTCCTGGAACACAGGTGGGGGCCTAGAGCAAGGATTTCGGCGCTAGACGGACTTACGGTGACATTACACTGGACGATTCGCAACGACGATTTTTAGCGCAACACAGCCTTGCAATGTTGGAACAATGTTGTAACCATTCGAAACAATGTCGCAACAATGTTGCAACGCTGTGTTGCGCTAAAAATCGTCGTTGCGAATCGTCTCGTGTAACAAAATCACCTTTAAACCAGAAGTTTAGTTCCGACGGCTGTGGCGTAGGCTATCTTTTATCTAACAAATTAAATTTCAGAGTAGAGCGAGACGTTGGTTGTACCTGCAGTTTGACTTCATACCATGAACTCATACCAAGGGCGTCCTCTACCGATACATTAATCGATATATTCACTGAAAGAACATTCTGCGACACTTGTTCGTAAATTCTAAATTTCCTCGAAGAGCTAGGGTTCTCTGGCGACGTAAGAAGTGGCTGCGTCCCATTGTCATTTCTACGATAACTGAAGCTATATAGTAGTGGCTTTTCAGAGTCGACCCAACCATCACAGGAAATCTGGAATTCTGTGTGAGAGATATTTCCTGTCGGCGGATAGCAAGAACAATTGCCAGGCTTGGGAGGTTCATTGACCCTTAAAATCTTGGTGACGTAACCTGTCCTTCCTCCTTCTCTCCAGGTTTCCAGTTTCACAATGCACTGGCCTCCAGGTTTTAAGTGTTCCTGGAAGATTTGAGACTTAATAACGAAGTCGCGATTAGTATTCTCCCTGATTAGCTCAGCAGGTAGGGACCATTCACTTCCATTCAGTCTTTGTATTTTCCAGCGAAAAAATAGCGTGAAAAACAAACACTGTCCCTCGCACTCGGCCTCAAGTCTAAGATCTATTGACGGATTCAGCCTACTTGAGCAATTGCGATCTAGGCACCTGATGAAGCAAAAAGAAAATAAGAAAAGCGCAGATCAGTCGTTTAACAATAAATGTATCTTGTTGGACGGTAGAGTGTGTAGTTTCGTGGGATATTCTTGCGAGTCCCGCTTTATTTTGGCGAGCCCAAAATACAAGAGATCGAAGAGAAATGGACGTTGTTTTCACATATTGTTGCCATCACCGTATCACTCTGTTGCACACATTTAGGTCTGTTTTCATCTTTCTTGTTGTATTTGTAGCTAATAAAGTCAGTTTATGTTGACTATATTAATCAATGTTGACATTTCACTGTTGTTCAGGCGACTCTACTGAAAAAACTCGCTTTCTTAAGATTACGATTTACAATTTATTTTCGTCGAAAAACGATGAATTTTCTGCCATGTACTACGTTTGTGGAGAGCCGGTCAGACCGGTCTTCCGGAGAACAACCGTAAGATATTTGTATTCGTTTTGAGCGTTATTTGTACTCTACTGAGTGACGTTGAAAAACTACTCACTACTAATTATTTTACAAAAAAAATAAAAAACTCGCTGTCTTCAGAACAATATAACACCCTAATAAATTTTCATCTATAACTGTAGACTCTCAAAGTGTCGGTTTTAAGGCTGGTAAACCTAGCACTAAGAGAGTGGAACAGGTATGCAACTAAACACTGGCTCTCTTACTTAGATTCAACTATAAAGAAACTCATAAGATTATAAAAGAACTATTCAATTTATACTAGACACGTAAATAGGTCCACTATTTCTTGGCTAGGTCGCTACAGGCTGTTATGTTCATTCATAGGGCCGGAAAACTGGTCGGGAAACAAGTTGCAACCCTCTTGTGTTTTTTCGAACTTCGCGCTTGCCTTAATAGAAACCTTTAGATTCAAAGAGAAGAGCCACTACGAGAATAAGATTTTCTTGACATCAAGAAGTGCAAGCGTAATGAATAATGAAAGGTAAATTACAACCGCCTTCGAATAAATCCATAAGTATGGATAGAATTCCCGTTGAGAAGCTTTCTTCTAAACTTGCTACCAACTTTTTTGTTGAAAGGAAATTTGTTCCTGCCACCGCCAAAAAAAGACTCAGAAAAGCTAGTTTAAATGAACAGCAAATTTCTCAAATTTACAAGATGCCTTTCAGTGCTATGAAAGACATACAACTCTCAAGGTTTCAGTTCAAGATCTTACACCACATCTTACCCACCAACGCTACATTATATAAATTCGGAATTAAGGAACATGACAGCTGTCATTTATGCGCTGAAAAGCAAACAATCACACACCTATTTGTGACTTGCCCCAATGCTCAGCTGTTTTGGACACATTTTTCAGTTTGGTGGCGCCAAAAAAACAACATTGAGATCCTGCTTTCTGAAGCACAAACACTTTATGGCATTACAGACACCGTGCCTCAGTGTCTTGGTTTAAACCTCTGCTTGATAATTGCAAAATACTATATTTACACCGCGTCTAAAAATGAGGAAGATTATTTTTTCGCCGCTTTTTTGTCTATCCTTAAAAATAAAATACAAATTGAAACTAGCAAAGCTAAGGTGCAAGTCAAGCTATAAAAATAATTTTCTTGATTCTGGCTAATTTCCCTTGTTTTTTGGCTTTTTTGTTTTGTTTGTTTGTTGGTTATTTATTTATTTATTTATCTATTTTTTGTCGTTTTTGGCGTATTTACTCCTCGTTAATAGATAGTAAGTTAGTAATTAGTTGTATTAGAATTCTTTTTTCATTATTTTGTAACAGACTCCAACTCATCGGCTCCTGTTTTGTAAGCATTATCTTGTAAGTTTATATTATGTAAGTAAGTAGTATTTAACTTAGCAAGTTATATGTAAGTAGGTATTAAAGCTTTATGTAACTAAGTAAGTACTATGTAAGTAAGTCAGCATTATGTTTGTAAAAACAATAAATAAATAAATAAATAAATAAAAATTTAAAAAAAGAAGTGCAAGCGCGTGAAGCAACGTCAAAATTTGGCGGGAAAACGTGATAGCCATCGTCACTCTACTACCAGTTTAATGTCACAATGACGGACACAAGTTTAATATCGAATGTTAGAAGTTTTATCATTTTGCGTTCGGAAGTGGGCTTATAACCTCCTTCAATAAAAATAACCGTGCTATCGCCTCTGGTGAAAAAGAGCACAACGCCCCTTTCGGGGTGTACATTTCTGAGAAAACGCGAAAAAAACGTTAAGTTCATTGTCGGCCGCGTGCTCGTCCTCGTCCTTGAGTCCAAAGGTCTCTAATATCTCCGCAGGTTTTGAAGACCTCAACATTCAAGGTGGCAGGTCCAAAAGGGGACGTAAAGGCCAGCGCCAGAAAAAGAGTGGCTGATCTTGGTTAGTTACTTTGTTAAGAAAACCCAGGGTGGTCATTAGAGGTCCGTGAATAATTAAACTATAATCATCTCGGATAGTTGGTGTTGTGAACAAATTTTATGGCGTTCTCGCCTGAGTTCGTCGACTGATAGTTTACTTTGATCTAGATGAACCTAAATCTTAAGGGAAATTCTCTCGTCTAGTATTGACAACAATTGAGCAGACAAAACATTGCGGTCAGCCTTTGTCTTAGTCTCCCTCGCAGCCGTTTTTTAGTGTCGTCACGCAACGGGGAGATGAGTTGCGTGACGACACTAACAACGGCTACGACGAGGTAGACTACAATACCTTTGTCTGGAAACCAGAGACAACCTATATCAATCACGAAAGCCCTGAATTTATAAACAGTCTCTTAACTCAACCTATTTTATTATGATTATGATTATGATTATGATTTAATTTTTAATAACCGAACTTGGAAGCACTGGGCCCTGGCGTGCATAATACTTGAATCAACCTGGTATTTAACAGATAGACCAAATTAGAAAAGAAACACCACTTGCGTACCTTATGGTCATTCTTGGCGGACCTGGTGGTAGGATAAAAACAGAAACCTCACCCCAAGCAGTGCGCCCATCACATTCCTTGGTCACTTTAACCGTAAATATGTAAGTCTTGTTTGCAACATAACTCTCGAGGCCAGGCGTAAAGTTTGAATAATTTAGATTGCTCTCTATCGCAGAAGTATTATGAATCAACTTTTGATCGGCGCAATGGACAAATTGGCCATCATAACTCATCTCTTGGCCGCGACAATGGATGCCACTGAAGTGATTTTTCGTCCGGCAATACCAATCGAAATTTAAGCCTTTTTTGCCGTCTAAGGCAACATCTCGATCGTCAAATTGTGTAGCAACATCTCGATCGTTAAAGTCTGCGTCTAAACTAAACGTTTTCTCAGTATCCGCTTCGCGACAGCTATTCCCACGTATTTCACCTCCCAGAGGTGTGGGTACAATTTCGACTATTGCTTTGGTTTCTTCTTGCACTTGTCCATAGAGATTCAAGACATCACTGCCTGTTAGCTCGACAGTTAGGTTGAAGGAATAATTGCCGTAAATTAAAAGGTTGCGAGGAACTGTTATGTTACTACTATAATAATTCTTCTTCTTTACCCCTGTGGTTTCATTGAAACAATGTCTTCCTGGTTCAAGATTTTCAGGTTCAATTCTTATAATTTGCCAAAAGAATTTGACATCTCCGGAGTTAGACAATAAACATTGATTTATATACTGTCCTTCGAGACGAATTGTATCTGATCTATTGTATTTTATCGGCTGCAAGATATTTTCAACACCTCCAGTTATTCTCATGTTTCTGTCCGAGTCCCATATTGAAACATTTTTAACCTTACAAACGGGCTTGGCGACCAGAACTGACACATTCTTTTTCACCTCAGATACCCTATTAAACACAGTAAGAGAAACTGTATAGTTACCCTCAAAAGGAAAGGTGTGGTTGAAGGAATAGGTAAAGTTCACTTCGTTGTCACTTGTGGCGCAATTCGTTTTATTAATCCAAGAAGTGATAGAGTCATTGAATGCCACGATGAAACAGCTACCATGCTGGAACTTGGGAATTGTTATCTCAAAATGGGTCGAGTTTCTCAGCCACGTAAAACCACTTGATGTAAAAGACACGCCGGAAATTTTCTCCTGCACATTAAACTGGACCGACGCTGACGTATTTTCCACGAATTTATCCACCTCAACGCTTGCAGTTAAGGTCCCAGTTTGGCTTAAAGTGACATTGAACCATGGTTCCTTTGTAATTCCTAGGACTACATCTCCATACAGTCTCCAACGGTAGGCCTTATCAAAATTTTGGGAAGTAACCAGCATTGTTGCTGTATCTCCAAGGGCAAAATATTTCCTAGATACGATATTTGTAAACTTTGCAGAGAACTCACTCTGAAGAGCAACCTTTATTTCAGGACGGACAGGTGCCAAAACAGTGACGGCCGTGTGGAACTCAGTTCTACTTACTTCATTTGAACAAGAAACATTGGTCGTGAACGTGAAGTTCCCTGTAGAAGAGTTCCCTGTAAAAGAATAGCGATGAAGTATGATATATTTTCCGTGACTATTGAATACTAATCTTCGCTTTTCGACAGGCGATTTATCGCCAAAAGACCAAAGACAGAAAGCATCGGTTGGATACCTCTCAAGAGTCAAGGTTTTGAGAATAAATGTAGCGTTACTCGAATTTTTTATTGTCCTTTCTTCCAACGTAAGAGTTATATCATTAAGCGGGTGCTGCACTATAACCACTGGGTCGCATTGACTAGTAAGTGAACCAAGACGATTGAAAGCTATCACTGTCACTTCATAAGAACCATTCGAAGCAAAAGAATGATTCAGCAGAAAGTATTTCCACCCATTAATACTCCGTCCCAGAGAAAAGCTTTTTGTATAGTTACTTTCAAACCTCGTGGTAACTGTCACATGAGAGCCGGACTTAACGGAGACATTAAAAGAAGCTTCCGCCGATGTATTAACGTAGGTAAGCATCGAGTCACAAGTTAGGTTGACAATTGGAATCTGAACCCAGGCAATGCCTTTGGCCACAACAGCACCATGCCTGTTTGAGCAATTAGTACTGACGTTGAAATATCCCTCCTCTGTATAGTTGTGCAAAACAGGAGTATCAATTTGCGAGAAATCCGTTAGAACAGAGAAGGCATCTCCAAATTCCCAATAACATAGAAACGCTGTTCCCGTTTCCTTTACGAGTGTGAAAGCAGAAGATTCCCCTCTGGCTGTGACATTCACTTTAATCTGAAGACCGGTGATCGGTTCATCCTTCTGGATGACAATTCTTGTTGAAAACGTTTCGATTCTGCGGCTTACTCTGTTTTCGCAAGTTAGGCCGATTGTGTAGTTTCCTGTCTGACGGTAGGCATACGTTGCCTGAAACACGTTGACGCCTTCGTTAAGGACATCTTCGCCGAAATCAAAGCTGCAAGAAGCATTGGTGCCTCCAGTTATCGTTCCTACCATACTGATGTTCTCACCTATCGCAATATAGGCAGAACGTGATCCATGCTTAATTCGAGGTACTATTGCTGTCAGTAGCAACTCCAGAATTGGCTCCTGTACGATAACAGTGCAATTAATACTTTTTTCGTCGACTCGGTTTTCAGCGTTTATCAGGACGTTATAAACGCCAACATGTGCATACTGGTGAGATAAAGAATAGTTTCTGATTTTATCGCCGATGTTCTCTAGAACCTTTTCAGAGCTTCCGTCACCAAGAGAAATCGTAAAGGAAACGTTGGTTCCTGCAAAATAAATAACATATTTTTACCAGTAATAGACAAAAGGGCTTACAATACACGCCTTTCACTTTGAATGAGGAAAGAGAACGGTCATAATTTCGCAATGCTTTTTCCCTAGACGAGTTTAGCAATATCGGGAGGAGAAAGATCCAGGGGTTTACAAATTTTCGAAAAGAAAAAAGGGTTGAGAAGTTTTTTAGGCCGAAAAGGTCAAATAGACTCTTGGCCTCTGTGGGGTCAGACAGCTTTACGGTTCCTTAGGAACTAGTTTTCACCATTGCTTTGTTTATTTATTTGTCACTTTGAGGATCGACCATTTTATTTCCAAGCTTTTCTTCTAAAGCCCATTGGGGCAATTACATGTCAAGAGTAGGTCAATGATTGTGTATCACTCCAGGAGTATAAGAGCCTCTCGGAGCTACGTTCTCAACGGCATTTCTCAAGTCTTGCCGACAGAATCCACTTCGAAAGGAAAAAACCTATGTCCGATTGTCCAGGACAGGTAGAAATTTAGTTCGGACATGTAAACCTTTGACATGACTTGTCCGTGGGACAAGGACATTTTTTAATTAGAAAAAAATACAGAAACAGTTGAAAATTTACTTCAAATTACAGTAGAATTAAAATTAATCTTATAGTCATTAAAAGAAAACCTCATA